GCAAAGGATAAAATAAAATGTACGTTCAAGGACTAGATAATGGGAGATGGAACCTCTGACCTCTAGGTTGCCAGTTCAAACCCAGAAACTGAAAGCTCTTTCCATCTGCAAGATCATCGTCCAAGAGAGTTTCAGTCCTGCTGCTGGTGTCGCCATGGGCATACCACGGTGTGCTCTCTGGCTGGTGTGTGTAGAAGGCAGAATTGAATGGGCAATAGGAAAACAGAACTGCCCTCTGCCTTGCTGAGGAGGGTGCTTCTGGAGCAGCCTGAGCCAATAAGTGTTGTTGCCGTCCATGCTGGGCTTGCAGTTCCCTGGGTAAATACAAGTCTTCAGTCTCCCTGGCGGCCAATCCCACGCCGCTCTCAGGGTTCACCCATGATGAGAAATAAAACATTAAGAACAGAGCAGCATGTGAGCCTGGTGGCTTTGAACCAGGGGGATGGCATCAGAGAAAGCGGCGAGGAGTCCTGTGGCACCTTATAGACTAACTGAAGTGTTGGAGCAATAAGCTTTGGTGGGCAAAGACCCACTTTGTCTGACGCATGTCATCTGATGAAGTGGGTCTTTGCCCACGAAAGCTTATGCTCCAACACTTTGGTTAGTCTATAAGGTGCCCCGGGACTCCTCGCCGCTTTTGCAGATTCAGACTAACACTACCCCTCTGATACTTGGCATCAGAGAAGTACACGTTGGCCCATCCACAGCAGGGGCAACTGCCCCAGGGCTCCCAGCGGCTGGAGCCTGGGCCCATTAAATCACCACCAGAGCCCTAAGCAGTGTGCTCTGGGCAGTGCTGAAGGGCTGGTGGGTGGAGACTAGCTCCCAGCCCCGCCCCTTTCACTAGAGGCCCCGCCCCTTCCAGGAGCGTGGAGCTGAGCCCTTCCCCATTTTGCCCTGGGACCTGGCAATTCTGTCAGCTCCCCTGAGAGTGCGGCTGTCTGTTCCCGGGGCTGTGCTTGCAGCCTTTTGTGTTGAAGACTGTGTGTATTAACCAGGTGGTTGGTGAGAAAGGGGGAGGGGGGGCTTGAGTCATGCTCTCAGAGCATCTACAACAAGGCTGTTTCTGGGGCGATGGCGCTGGTGCTGGGCTGGAGAGAGAGCCGCTGAATTCCCCTGCAGCGGTCGGTGCTGCGGGTACAGTGGTGTGAGGGAGGAAGTAGAATGGACTGCGCTGGACTATAGAGAGCTGAGCAGCCTGGACATATCCTCTGCCCCCAGCCCACACACCAACTGTAAAGAAACGGATGCTACAAGGGGGACTGTGTCACGGCACAACATTAAAAGTTGAAAAATGACCCGTTTCATCACCCCTACCACACGTTGGTCATGCAGCTGTCAGGGGATTAAAAAAAAAAAATCTGCTATTTCCTTGCACACAGAGACAAGGTTAGTTCCAAACCCATCAGAAAAACATTCCACAGGAAGCCAAACAGGACACGACCACACAAAACACAGCTGGGACTGGAAAGGAAGGGGAAATACAAAAAGGGAGGCTAGCGTTGGTGTAGATTTGGGATTTGTGCAAGACTCTTGTAGATGGGGCGCTTACCAGAAGCTGAGATTTTGTCACGACAGGGAAAGGCTAGGAGCAAATGTTAAATTATCATGGAGAAAGGCATGTTGTTTGGGAAGATCAAGACATGCGAAGCTAGAACCCAGGTCCAGCTCTATGACAGAATTGTCCCCACGCAATGCGATGACCTGTCATCTCCCATGCTGGCTGGTCCACAACATTAGTAAACCTGTTGCCGCTGTGGCCAAAGGAAGCCGATCTTTTAGCTCAGGCAGCAGCGCTTCATGCTTTTAGATCCAGAGGCCCCAGGTTCTATCCCCACTGCTGACAACCTACCCAGGGACATTGCATTAGGTATATGTATTACACCTGCTCTGAGCAGGGTTTGATGACATGAGATGAAATCCCAGCCCCGTGAGAGTCTATGGCAATTCCAACAGGGCCAGCGTTTCACTCACAGTGCGTAAAACGCTGGCCTGGTTACGCCAGGACCTCCAGTGTTGGTACCGTGGGTGGAGTTAAGCTGGAGATAGCAACGGTGGAAAGTCACTCTAGAATTTCCCATGTTGGCAAGACAAATGTCAGACGCCCAGTCTTTGGTAACCAGTGCCTCTTGACTCCCCTCTCCGCTCTTATCTCCATGTTAAAAAATCTCAGAGGAGTTGGTGTGTTAGTCTGTAACTTTAAAAATGACGAGTGGTTCTGTGGCACCTGAGAGACTGTCCAAAATATAGAGTCATGAGCTTTCGTGGGCAAAACCCGCTTCCTCAGACGTACTGGGTTTTCCCCATAGAATTCTATATATTTTGGTTAGTCTCCAATTGCCTCAGGACCACGTGTTGTTTTCTTGTCTCTGTGGATACCTTCCCCAATATGCTTTTCCGTTCCTTTTGTTGTGCCCTACGAAGCTGTTTCCCCAGATGTCCTTCTCCTCTGATGGCAAGAGAAGAATTGCACAAGAGACGGCCATTGTAGGTTTTCAAAGGGCATTCAGGCTCATGGTCACTGCTTTGGAGAGATCTCAGTTCCTGTATTTCCTGTATCACTTTTTCTTCTTTCCCTTTTGGGGGCATAACTACACCCAGAGTTTTCTTCCAATCCCCACAGTCACATCTAAGAGGATGATGCTACTGCAAAAGAATTATCCGAGCAGGAAGTGTCAGTGTGAATACAGCATGTCTTCTGCCTTTAAAGAGATAAGGCACTTTCTAGCATTCCCTCTTACCCTTATTTCTCTCTCGACCAAATATGAATTAGTAGCCTATTTAATATGGATCTGTTTTTGTTGTGCTAGCCAATACCATTATGCTAGCCAGATAATATAAATAAGCTAGGTCATTGCTTAGACGAGGAGCACCATACATATATATACATACACACACACATGCCCCAAAAGCATATAATAACATAAATACCTGTGTATGTCTAGACCCGTGTAGGTCACCACCCTGTCGATCGCGATCAACTGGTCGATTGCGAGAGCTCAACCAGTCAATCGCGAGTCATTTGCCCCCCCCGCCCATTTCCCTCCACACCCAAGAAGCCCCACTACCTACCTCCAGCGACAATGGAGGTAGTGCCGGCTTCCTGCAGGGTGGACAGAAGTCCTGCAGCTTCACACTACTTCTGGAGGTTGTGGAAGTGCACTGGCTGCTCCCCTCCCCTAGGTCTCTGGCGTGCCAGGAACTTGAGGGGAGTCCCTAGATGAGGGGTGTGCCGGTAGGGGGTAGTTGTCCCCGGAGGAGGTGTGCACTGGAGTTTCTTTGCTCTGTGGGGGAGAGGGGGAGTTGTCCCCGAGGAGGTGGGTGTGGGGGATTCCCTACCCCCAGCAACACCCTGTCCCCTGCCCCCACTGGCACCCTGTCCCCTGCTGCAGAACTCTGTCCCCTGCCTCCCCGGTACCCTGTCCCCTCTCCCCTGTTCCCCACTGGCACCCTGCCCTCTGTCCCCTGTCCCCACTGGCACCCTGCCCCCAACCCAGAACTCTGTCCCCTGCCCCAGCACCCACTAGCACCCTTCCCCAGTACCATATCCCCTGCTCCCACCAGCACAGTTGGGGCCATATTAGTGAGGCTTGGGGGGGGGGGGTTTGAAGGAGTTACTTTTTTTTTGCATCTCACTTGTGTGGCCCCCAATTGACTTTTCTGTGGGTCAGTGACCCCTGACTCAAAACAGGTTCCCTGCCCTTCTCAGAAATAAAGACAATGCAGAAACATTTTGAGTTTGACATAGTATTTTGTTTAAAAATGAAGCCTGGACAACAAACCCCCAGTTGGGGCCAAGCCTCCAGCTGGCCACAGCATTATAACACTTCTGCACCCCCCAGACTCTAGATCTGAGCCTATCATACACTGAAACCCCCTGCCCTGAGCCCCTCACATACCCCAACCCAAATTCCTGCATCCTCACAGCCATG